ATGTGGAAGGTGTTAAAGAGGACATCAACATGTTTTTTTCCTTCAAAGCCAAGTGATTTTTTAATCAGGGCATGAACAACCTGACTATAAGATGGAAAAACATCATCGATTAGAATGGAGACTATTTAATAAATGTTTTGTTTTGATATATAAGTAGTTCGGGTTTTTTCATCTAAAAAAAAAGTGACATTAATTTCTTGATGACCTAATATTAGACTCAGTTTTCTTGACAATTTCTTATAATGTCATGGTTTTGACTGGTAGTAGAAAAAGGAATTTTAAGAATTATTTTGCTTAAAATTCCTATTTCATACTTAATACAGAAAAACTACAAATATTAGGTTTAATAGAAAATAATAGAACATGTAATAGGGGTCTTTATCTATGCACATGTTCCATTGGATTAACATTTGGTTGATAATTTGCCAACAAAATTAACAATAGAACTTCGTGTTCTGTTGTTTCTTTACATTTTCACAGTGTTAGTGGTAATGCACTCTTATTCTGATTAAGAGAAGATATTATATCATTCTAAGTTGGAATTGTTCCAAGGAATTGAGGACGATGTGATAGAAATTGGGGGCAGGAACAACGTAACATTGGTTTAGGTAGTTGTTTGGTAATGTTACCTGGTTTTGTAAGGCTTAGCATTACTGCATTCCATTACTCAACTACTTTTGAAGTATTCAGTGTTTGTTGTTTTCCTTCAAAGTTGAAGAGTGCTTTTATCTTGGACTGACTTAGTGTTTAATAAACTGTTTAATGTTCTTAATGTCTTCTTCAAAGGGTTTTGATTTCCTGATATTTTAAATGCTCTGTATAGCAGGGTTTTGCCCTGATCTTTAAAGACTTGAAGTGAAATTTTCAAGTTGTTAATAAAGTCCTGTGAAAGTGGGTCTGTTGTACAGTTTAGGAAACTTCCATAACTAACACAATGTTATAACAAAGATCAGTAGCTTTGTCATCTACAGGTATGTTTGTAAAGAATGACTTGGTATCATAACTAACAATGTTATAACAAAGATCAGTAGCTTTGTCATCTACAGGTATGTTTGTAAAGAATGACTTGATATCATAACTAACACAATGATATAACAAAGATCAGTAGCTTTGTTATCTACAGGTATGTTTGTAAAGAATGACTTAATATCATAACTAACAATGTTATAACAAAGATCAGTAGTTTTGTCATCTACAGGTATGTTTGTAAAGAATGACTTGATATCATAACTAATAATGTTATAACCAAGATCGGTAGTTTTGTCATCTACAGCTATGTTTGTAAAGAATGACTTGATATCATAACTAACAATGTTATAACAAAGATCAGTAGTTTTGTCATCTACAGCTATGTTTGTAAAGAATGACTTGATATCATAACTAATAATATTATAACAAAGATCAGTAGTTTTGTCATCTATAGCTATGTTTGTAAAGAATGACTTGATATCATAACTAACAATGTTATAACAAAGATCAGTAGTTTTGTCATCTACAGCTATGTTTGTAAAGAATGACTTGATATCATAACTAACAATGTTATAACAAAGATCAGTAGTTTTGTCATCTACAGCTATGTTTGTAAAGAATGACTTGATATCATAACTAACAATGTTATAACAAAGATCAGTAGTTTTGTCATCAACAGGTATGTTTGTAAACAATGACTTGATATCATAACTAACACAATGTTATAACAAAGATCGGTAGTTTTGTCATCTACAGCTATGTTTGTAAAGAATGACTTGATATCATAACTAATAATGTTATAACAAAGATCAGTAGTTTTGTCATCTACAGCTATGTTTGTAAAGAATGACTTGATATCATAACTAGCAATGTTATAACAAAGATCATTAGTTTTGTGTACAGCTATGTTTGTAAAGAATGACTTGATATCATAACAAGCAATGTTATAACAAAGATCAGTAGTTTTGTCATGAAATATCAAGTCATTCTTTACAAACATACCTGCATAACTAACAATGTTATAACAAAGATCGGTAGTTTTGTCATCTACAGCTATGTTTGTAAAGAATGACTTGATATCATAACTAACACAATGCTATAACAAAGATCGGTAGTTATCAGCTAGTTATGTTAGAGTGAAATATGTGTATAGTGTGTGGTTATCAGCTAATTATGTTAGGGTGAAATATGTGTATAGTGTGTGGTTATCAGCTAATTACGTTAGGGTGAAATATGTGTATAGTGTGTGGTTATCAGCTAATTACGTTAGAGTGAAATATGTGTATAGTATGTGGTTATCAGCTAATTACGTTAGAGTGAAATATGTGTATAGTATGTGGTTATCAGCTAATTACATTAGAGTTAAATATGTGTATAGTGTGTGGTTATCAGCTAATTACGTTAGAGTGAAATATGTGTATAGTATGTGGTTATCAGCTAATTACATTAGAGTTAAATATGTGTATAGTGTGGTTATCAGCTAATTATGTTAGAGTGAAATATGTGTATAGTATTTGGTTATCAGCTAATTATGTTAGAGTGAAATATGTGTATAGTATTTGGTTATCAGCTAATTACGTTAGAGTGAAATATGTGTAGTGTGTGGTTATCAGCTAATTATGTTAGAGTGAAATATGTGTATAGTATGTGGTTATCAGCTAATTACGTTAGAGTGAAATATGTGTAGTGTGTGGTTATCAGCTAATTATGTTAGAGTGAAATATGTGTATAGTATGTGGTTATCAGCTAATTACAT